AGACGAGAGGGAATGGGACTTGCCTTTGCAGCAGTGAATCTTGGAGGATTGTCAAAGGAAGTCAAGAGGCTGGTCTGACATTCACCTCTGTGCAGGAGGCTGCTCCGGAGCCCAGGCACTCCCATTATCGGAGGCTGCGGCCACCAGTTACCTCGCGTCTACACCTTGCAACCCCAGGCGCTCCTTCATCCGTCACTGAACATTGTCTGGTATCCAGCCCTCCTTCCCCCACCACCTCCCGCCGAAGGGGCCTCCTTGTTAATAAGCCAGTTTGTTCAGATCCTGAAAACTATCTGATTCTGGCCCCTTTTATCCCAAACACCATCCGTCCGTCAGCTGCCTGCTATACATGCTTGGTTAGGAAAATGGGACTGGGAGAGAGAGACAAATAATAGATGAAACTTCTTAGCTGCTACCTCTAAAGAAATAGAACGGATAACTAGATCCGTCAGACATGTATCATGCCACTGGACAGCCAAGTCCGTGCGTGAAAAAGAGGTTAGGGTGGGAGGATTTATCTCACATTTTAAGCTGTTAATATAGAAGGGAAACATATTTTCCTTTCTCTCTCCCAGAGGAGCGCGGAAAACCCCTGGGCTACGAATGCAGAATTTTTAACTCAATTTGCTGGGCTTTCCTTCACTAAGGTGGAAACAGTGGGCTCTCTCTTAAATGTATACAGTCTCGAAGAGTAGCATGGGCTGCCCTCTGATGTACCGGGAAGGTTATAGGACCTGGGAGTCCTGTAAAAACGTCTTCCATGGGGTTGTCTCTCATGAGTTCCTATGTACTCTGTGCAAAGACTGTTTCAGAGCCTTTGCCTCTAGCACGGAGGGGCCAGAGAGAGAACAGCATCCTTTTACTGGGACACTCCTAGGTATTTAAAGTGCTATGCTAGGTACTGAGGCTCCGAAAGTAAATCTGAGTCCCCATGTGCCCTGCAAGGTGTCACTGGGTGGGGGAGACTATAGTGACAGAATAGGTTGCCTACAGTGATAGGGTATGGAAAATGCTCCGTATCAGAGACTAGCACCTGATGAAGTATGGGGGAGCGGAAGGGGTCAGGGTTGGCTTTCTGGGTGAATGGATACCTAATCCATACCCTGCAGAGTGCTGGTGAAGAGCTGGGAGAAGATAGGGGCTGGCAGGTGCGGGTGCTTCTAAGGTAGTGTGTACAAAGGCCTGGAGGGGACAAAAGACCTATTTGAGGGATTGAATTAGAAGTAGTTCATTCATACAACAAATATTTATTGAACCCCCTCCTAAGGCCAAATACTGTTCTAGATACTGGGGATCAAGCCATGAAAAAGCTTGCATATTAATGGGGGGGAGGCATACCAAGAAAAAAAAATCTATAATCTCAGGTAGTGATAAGTGCCATACTAGAAAAAATAAATGAGGGTAAGGTCTTCGGAGGGATATTATTTGAGCAGAGATGTGAATGAAACTAGGGAGTGATTCTTGGATGAACTCCTTTAGAGGATGAACATTTCAGGTGGACGAGAAAGCAGGTGCAAAGGTCCTGAGGCATGAGAGTTTGGCATGTGTGAGGAATAGCAAAAAGGCTTCCATGGCTGGAGCAGCATGACAGTAGGAAGAGTAAATGGAAGGAAATGACATCAGAGAGAGGTGAGAGCTAGGCATTCAGGGCTTTGTTGTCCTGTTAGGGAGGACAGGTTTTTAGTATATTGGCTCATAAAGTCTGCAGAGGGAAATAAAGATGGAGTGGTACACTGACATCAGACCAGAGCAAATCTTGTGAATCCAGGTTAAGATTCTTGTGCTTTAAAATAATGGCTGTGGAGTGTTGAAGCACCAGGAGCTCCCAAGGGGAGCAGGGACGTGGGTGGAAAGTGACCATCTGTGGAAATCTCCCCAGGACCACATACTGCTGCCCTCAGGGAAGGCCCAGTGACCAAACCAATGCTCCAAACCCAGCTCTCCCCAGCCTGAGGGGCACCAGCGACCACCCCCAGGAGCCGAGCAGTAATTATTTTCCACCCGCCTCGTGGTTTCCCACCTCTCGACTCTGCACATACTATTTCCTCTGCGATGTCCAGGCCCTTCTTCACCTTTGTCTGCTTTTTAAACTCCCACTCATTTCCTAGACTCTGCTGGCCTCGTCTCCTCTCCTATCCAGGCTGTCTTCCTTCTCCCCAGATTGGCTTCCTGCTGGTATGGGACCTGGGGCATGGTTCACAGGCCTCCTCCATCAGGCCAGGCAATCTTCCAGTGCTGGGACTGTGTCTGATTCATTCCCGGCCCCCCAGCACCCAGCCCGGGGCCCAGCACAGGGCTCCCCAGAGTGCTCACCCATTTCCCAAGCCAGGGGATAGAAGCCCCAGTTTTCTTCACGGAGAAGCATGCTTCTGCTAACCTATGTCACATACCTTTCCTCAAACAGTACCCGGTGGCTTCCCTCTGCCGTCTCTCATTTCTGCACTGTGGTTTTGAAGGCTACCCTTTCTCTCTGTCCATTTTCTTCACCCTAAAGCCATCCAGTTCAGAAGAGATTCATTGAGTGCTGAACTCTTTAGATCTTCCTCTATCTCAAAGCAGAAAAAAAGAAAAAAGCCTCTTCTTACTGCTTTTCATTCTGTCATTAATTTACTTTTCAAAAGACACCTTGTCAAGCTGAAGATTATATCTTTAAACCGTGTTTTTACATCCACTACCTATAAAACCGTAGATTCTAGATCTCCTGAAAAGTCCTGAGGGAGAATACATTTGATGGGTTTTATGCCTTTTGCGGGGTGAGAGCCAGGCATCCTTGAAGAGGGAGAGGCGCTGATCCGGTGAAGGGTGGCTGCTGCGGAAACTGCTACTGCCGCTGTATTGTCATTTCTAAAGCTGCTGGGGATGCAGCATCCTCAGAGGAGCGGGGCAGACACTGGCCTTGGTTCTGTGGCTCAGCCGATGGGAAGATGGCATTGCTTTGCTGGTTGTTTTGGCTCACAGGTGATCCAGGCCATTGTTTAATCCCAGCGTTCTCATCTCGCATCTAAAGGACTACACGTACTTCCTGATGAGCTTCCTGGCCTCTGGTTTCTTCCCTCTCCTCTGCGCCCCACACACAAAATCCCTCCACTGGCTGACAGCCCAGAGCAGAGGTGGGGGTGCACGTGCTTGATGGACTGCATTCACACCCTGGCCAGGCTGCCAGCTCTGTGACCCATCAGGCTCAGCCTCGCAGAGACTCTGTTTCCTCATCTGTAAAATGGGACTCAGAAAACAAATCTTAGCGGTCCTTGTTAAGATTAGATAAGGTACGCAGATAAACCTTACTGTGGTGCCCTTTTGTTACACACCCGTGAACGTGTAGCTCTCAGGAATTCTCAGCCTTGGCTGCATTGGAATTGCCTGGGAAGCTTTTGTTTATTTATTGAAGTATAGTTGATTTACAATGTTGTGTTAGTTTCAAGTATGCAGCGAAGTGATTCAGTTTTATATACGTACACACGCACATACACATATATTCTTTTTCAGATTCTTTTCCATTACAGGTTACTACAAGGTACTGAAGATAGTAAACTACTGATCTCTGGCTCTCATCTCCAGAAATTTGGATTGAATTGGTATGGGGTTCAGCCTCTGGACATCAGGGTTTTTAAAACTGCCCACGTGATTCTCATGCTCAACCTAGGCTGAGAACTACCGCTTTTAGATCAAGCTTGAATGTCCTCTGTAAACTGTCCACTTGGCCTGGCCAATCCGCCTCTCATCACTTCCTAGGATGTAACTACTGCTCCACAGTAAATAACGAATGGAAATTAATTATTCATGGACATTAAAAAGTAAATTAATGACAGGATGAGAAGGTATATGGGAGTCTTTTTTCCTTCTTTCAGATAGATCTAAAGAGTTCAGAAACAAACTTCTAAACTATAAGCTTTAATTAATAATAGTAACGATAAGAGTGATGCTAATAATTTTGCACGTGACAGGTATTGTGCTAAGTATTTTATATAACTTATTTTATTCCCACTCCCTCTTCCAACACATATACACCTACATACACCCCTAATATTCTTTCTGAGGTTCAAACTTTGTGACATGCTGTTTTCCTATCTAAAGTTCTCTTCCCTCTCTGCCTAGTTCAAAAATCCCTCAAGGTCTAGGTCAACCCCCATTCTGTATATTTAATACAGACAAAGAAAGGTAAATCTCTCTTCCACCTGGCCTCCTTTGGCACTTACTTTGTGTGCCACGTATTTTGGCATTAACTCAGCAATTCACGTCCTGTGTTCCTAAAACTGCTTCTAATTGTTTCATGTGTGCGTGTGTGCGTGCGTGTGTGTGTTTATGTCTCATTATCACCCAAAGAAGATTGAGGATTCTGGAAGGATAGGGAGTGTTGACTGATACACACATATCAGTCAACATATGTTTCTTATACCAACTGGGACGGCAGATTCCACCTTCAAGGAGCTCACAATCTATAGGGGAAACGTGTGGGTCAACAGAAAAGTCAGTGCAACACACACATTCTCTCTTTGAGCCCTGGTTGGAGTGCTGTGGGGACACTGAGTCAGGCGGATGTGACTAGCTCTCCCACAGGTGGGCCCGGGCACATGAACTGGTCGGCCCCCCAGATCCACATTCTACTCTGGGAGGCTGACTAAGAAGGACCACATTTTTGAACTGACTCTTGAGTTCATTCCCTCACTTCTCGCACAGATGCTTGTTAATTCCCTCCAATTCAAGGCACAGCCCTCACCTCTGGGGATGCAGTGCTGAACCAGACGAAGCTGATCCCTGCCCTCAAGATTGCCGTCCATGGGGGGACAAGTCATAAATAGTCACAGGAGGTGTGGGACCCAATATGTAATTGCCAATTATGAAGAAGGCGATGAAGGAAAACAATAGTGTGCTGTGAGCCAATTATTAGTGTGCCAGTTATTTAATTGGGAGAACGGTGATATTTGTGATAAGAACTCAAGCAAACAAGAGAGATTAATTGAAGGAATACGAGAATATGTTGAGTCCCAGTGAAGCAAAAGTGAAGGAACTCAAGGCAATCTTTAATTTTTCTCCTTGTTTCAGTATGTCTGCTTATCTTACAAACTGATAATCGTTTTCTACAAATGAGCAAATATTGTTATCAAATAACAGAGATCGTTCTCACGGTACTTTGTTTTGTTGGCTACAGGTAGTTTCAAGAGCGCCTGCCTGCCTTACGCCTCTGCCATCCTGTAAGTTCCTCTAAGACATGAATCGAGATTTCTTCTTTTCTTTCTTTCTTTCTTTTATTTATTTATTTTTTAGATGATCCAAAGCGCTATGAGCCATTAACACTCAACACCCAATTGTGACTGAGTTTTGTGGGTAATAGAACAGTTGGTTGTTGATGGCACGGCCTGGTCCAGGACAAAGAAAAAGTCCATGTTGATTGGCATCTTCTGTCAGCTGGGTGAAGTCGGTCGGTATCCAGTGGTCAGCTCAGGCAGTGACGCCGCTGCCTCAGCTGCAGCCTGTGCCCAGAGCCCTCAGCATGCCTGGGTTTGCACTCTGTGGCCCGGACATGCGGTACCTCCGTTCTGGGGTGCAGGATTGTTACACTCTCTCCTCCTTTCCCGGCTGCCCGATTTGCAAGCAGACCATGAGCTCCAGCAGCCCCAGTGACCATCCGCCTTTTCTCCTGCATGGATAATTTCCCAGAGCACAAGGAGGTTAGCATACAAGCGGCAGCTTGGATGGTTGAGTGAGGCCCATCCCGCTGCCCTAGAGTGGTCTGCAATCTCTCCTTGGGGAAATGCCTCCGTGTAGCCAAACCAGACCTCTATGCTCACTGCCTTGCACTTAATTTGAAACTCTGGATGGAGTGAGAAGAGGCCGCTGGGAGCCCATCTCATGAAATTGGAACCTGCGGTTCCACGGGAGATGGATAGCGGAGAGAGGCAGGGAGGCGCGCGTCTCTGGAAGAATGACGCTGAGCCAGTGGTGAGTGTGCAGACAGGGAACTCGCCCCAGCTGGGGCTTCACGAAGGCCAGCCAGACGCCCCTATGCAAAGGATAGCTGGGCTTTTAAATGAAGGTTTGCAAATCAACCCCACTCAGACTCCAACGATGGGGCCACGGTGGGTGACAGATTCTCTGCACAGGGTATCAGAACACGTGCACTGACCATGGGCTGTCTCTAGAAATCCAGTTTATACGATCCCTCTAGCCTGGGGCTGATGCCTCCTACTGACTCTGTGCCTTTGGACCATCCCATCTCCTCTCTCAGCCTGAGCTTTCGCCTCTGTAAAGGAAAAGGGTGGACTGATCCAGCAGGGTTTTCCATCATTATTTTTTTCATTACTGTTTTTTTTTTCTTTCTTAAATGAAATCTTCTTATATGGGCCCCAGCATGGAAGTCAGATGAAAGTGAAGCTGTTCTATTTGAAGCTGGGTGTCTATCAGGTTTGCCCTGCTCCTCTGGGGCAGCCCCTAGGAGACCCCAAGCTTCCTCAGACCTCAGTGTGAATATCATTGGATTAGATTATCTTCAAGTCCCTTCCAGCTCTGTCATTACACTCCCTGGTGGGGCAGCCACAGAAGGGTTCTCTATTTCTCCCACCTCTGTGGCTCGGTCCCTACATGCAAAGATTTGCGGGGAGAATCCCTCGGGACCTACGACAATGGGTCTCCATGGTGGCTGACTCCCCCACTTTAGACTTCCTTGCCAGATCGATCTCTGTCTGGCTGAAAGTTTAGTCTGATAGTCCCAAGGCCACCCGAGGTCCATACCCCTCGGGCATGGAACAAACAAGGTTAATGGAACACCCGGGAGCTGCCTGCAGCTGACTGTAATCATGCAGGAAAAATGGGACTGTGAGGACGACCCAGCCCTCTGCGCCCTGCCACCCCCCTTGATCATTGACATTGTGTCCCCCTTCTCCAGTGCCCATCATGTGTACATATGACTCAGCATGGCCACCACCAAGCCCAGCACTGGATCATTGGAGAGGCATCTCTAGGTAGTCCACACTCCCTGTTCACTTTGCTCTATGCTGTGTGAACAGGGATCCAAGCAAGTCACTGGCTCTGAGGGCCCTTGACATGCTCTGATTCTAATTACCCAGGCAGAGCTCATGTCTGTCCCTTTAAGCCAGGTCAGCCCGATAACCAGGACCTGGGCCATACCCTCCCTCTCCACTCCCCAAAATGATAATCAGTGCAATCATCTCAGACCCTCTACCCCCATTCCCCAAATTTCCAGACTCTTAGGATGTCAATTAGTAGAATGTAACAGTTAAGAGCTTGGGTCCTAACACCAGACCACCTGGGTCCAAATCCTGGCTTTGACACTCCCCAGCTAGATGACTCAGCGAGTTATCTCCCCTTCCTCCTGCCCCTGTGTCCTCATCTGTGAACTGGGGAGATAATAGTATTGATATTCATCTCATCACATTCTTGGGAGAATAAAGGAGTTCGTGCACGTAAAGTGTTGCAATAGTGCCTGGTACAGAATTTGTTGTTTTTTCTGTTCGTTGACCTTTGGTCCCTCTAGAAAGTTGCCTGGCCAATGAGGCAAATGGGGCTGAAACCCAGTCCAAACTCTGCTTGAAAAGTCAAGAAATCCCTGGGTCTGGAGCTGGGCGGTATCAACCCCGAGTGGTTTTCTTTGTTCCTCCCAATTTACCCACCTAACAGGCAGTTCCTTTTTTCAATTCACTTGAGGAAACTGTACCAGGCTTGGCCCTGGTCATTGTTCTGCTTGGTTTTTGTTCTCTGCATCCTCCTTCATAAGGACTCTGGAATTCACTCACCATCCTGGCTCACCCCTTTCAGAATTCCTCCTATAGGATACCAGGCAGCTTTTTGGGACCCAATTTGTACTCCCTTCACCTCACAAAGGAGGGATTTAGATGTGGCCTCAACCCAGGACAGATCTTCTACCAATAGGGCTCTATCTTCTTCTTACTTATTAGAATTGAGCTTGCCACACAAGTTAGCTAGTTTAACCCTCAACACAACCTGTGATGTAGGTACTGATATCATCCCCATTTTACAGGGGATGCCCACCCCACATGCAAATTGGCAGCACTGGGATGTGAAGGCCTATTTGACACCAGAGCTATGCTATCCTGCCTCCCATTTAGAACGACTCTCCCAATGAGAAAATTTTAACCCACTGTCATCTCATTTTAAAATCAGCCTCCTATCCCATCTACACTGTGTTTCAGCGGTTTGTTTTCCAGACTTTTTTTTTTTCTTTACATTTTCTTCATCGCAGTTGCCAAATGAGATTGATTTATACATTGATTTGGTAGCCCATATTTTTGCCATCATTCTATGTACCAAGTGTGCATGGAAAATTGGAAGCTTAGGGATTAGAACATGCATAGAGATTCTTGGAGCTCAAAGGGAAACATAGATGAGAAAAGCCTCAGAAAGAAGAAACAATTAACTGGTATCTCAGTAAGTTAGTGAAATAGCTGAGATTCACAGCCAGGTCTCTAGACTTCTTCATCTTTAAGGGACGTGGATTTCTAACCCTCGTTTGAGAACCTTCTTTTCTGGTACCCGTTGGTTTGTTTTGCAGCTTAATAGGTTTAAACGTTGAAACGTTAAGCTTTATGTTACTTGCCCCAACCTTGTTTCTAGTCATGACTCCTTATGCTATAATGACAAGTTACTTATCCCTTGTAATGGGTTGAATTGTGTCCCCCAAAAGATAGGTTGAAGTTCAAACTCCACTACCTGTGAGTGTTGCCTTATTTGGATATAGGATCTTTGCAGATAAACTCAATTTAAGATGATGTCATGCTGGATTAGGATAGGTCCTGATCCAATGACTAGTATTTTTATAAGAGAGAAAACAGAGACGTAGAGTGGAGAACACCATGTGAAGACAGAGGCAGAGACTGGAATGGTGCAGCTACAAGCCGAGGAATGCCGGGCATTGCTGACTCATGCCAGAGGCTAGGAGAGAGAACAGATGCTCCCACAGAGCCTCCAGAAGAAAGCAACCTAGCCAGTACACCTGGATTTGGGATTTCTAATCTCCAAAAGCGTGAGAAAATAAATTTCCATTGCTTTAAGCCACCCAGCTTTTGGTAATTTGTTATGGCAGCCCTAGGAAACGAATACATCCCTCCGGAAATGAATCCTGTTGTCCATATACACCTTGGTAAAAAAACAGTCGTCATCTGAGAGGGTCCTAATGGCAAGGAGAAAGCATAAAAACCAGTAAATGTAGGGGGTCAGCCATAAAGCTCAGCATGTGGGTTCCTAGAGCAGTGGGCAAGAGGGCATAGAACAGAGAGGCTGGGAACCCCAAAGGTCCCTTCTGTGCTGGCCCCTCTAAGCCGAGATAGGCTAGAACCTGAGTGAGGATGCGCGGGTCTTACCCTCTGACTCCATTTGCTCACAGGCAAGGCCGTGGCGACCCAGGGGGCACTGACAAGTGCAGCTGGTACCATCGAGGATGGGCTTCCCATTGTTGAAGCAGGGCCCACAGCGGCAGGCATTGAATTCCATCAGGTACTGGTCCAAGGCTCGCCGCAGGTTTTGACGCTTGGTCTCCAGAGGCCCCAGGTTCGTGTGCCGCAGTATCTCATGGATGGGCTGCAACTGTGGGCACAGAAAGAACAGAGGGCCCCTCCCTGGGCTCTGTCCAGCTTCCCAGAGCCCAAGAACTGGCCTTCAAGCTTCTGGAAGGCCTGCTACATGCCAGGCACAGAGCCAGACACTCAACTTTATCCAGTTGTATTGGATCCTGAATCCCCCAACCCATGGATGAAGAAGCGGAGGCTCAGAGTGTTTGAGTGAGCAGCTCAGGACCACACAGTGGACCATGCTGAACATCAACCTACTTAACTTTGAAACCTGTGGTCCCAGAGGAAGACAAGAGCCCAGAAGCTATCTGTGCCAGCTCATCTGCCCCCCTCCAGCACTTTTAGGAATCAGGAAGAGTATAAAGTATTTATATGTTTGTGTGTGTGTGTGTGTGTGTGTGTGTGTCTTTTATTGTCAACCTTCATTGCAGGAATTAGTAAAGTCCTTAATGCAGTTGTGTTGCCACTGCTGAGCACCGCCCCTAATGGTGTGAATGTGGTGTTTGCCTGTGTGTATTTGAGGGTGTTTGGGGGATGATGGTGGCGGAGTCATTCACATATGCCCATTCTAGGCAGGACTGTAGTCTAGGGTTTCTTAACCTTGGCACTATTGCATTTCCTGCTGGACAATTCTTTGTTGACAGGGGCAGGCTGGCCTGTGCATTGTAGGGTGTTTAGCAGCATCGCTGGCCTCTACGCACTAGATGCCAGTAGAACCTCCTAGTCATGAAAACCAAAACTGTCTCCTGACACCAGATGTCCCCTGGGGCAGGGGTGTGGGGGAGTCAACCCCTGGTTGGGAAGTAGTAGATGTAGCAAAGAGCATTGACTCTGCAGCTAGAAAATCTGGCTTCAGGTCCCAGCTCTGTAAATTGTGGCTGTGTGATCTCTGTCCCATCACACATGAAGCCTTCCTTCCTCATCTGTAAAGTGAGGACAGTAGTTCTACACTCCAGGTTTACTGTGAGGATTAAAGTTGAGAGATGGGGAAGACCTGTCACATAGTCAAAGCTAAATCAATGCTGCTCGCTTCCCAGCTGTGTGGCCCAGAACTCGTAACTGCCGCCCCCAAGCCTGAGCCCTGTTATCTATAAAATGGGTGTAATAACCTACTTCTTAGAATTCACGTGAGGATCTAAAGAAGTAATGAGTGTGAGATGTCACTGCAAAGAGGAAGAACAGTAGAAAATAAAGCACCATTTTTATTAGTTAGATGTGGTGATAGTAAAAAAAAAAAGCCTATATTTTTCAAATTGCATGTATATATGGTTGTCTTCAGCATGCTTATAAGGCTATGTATTTTAACACATAACCATCAAATGAAATCTCTTTTCCAGATCTCTCATTTTACAGGAGAGTAACCTGAGGCTCTGAGAGGGGAGGGATTTGCCAAGGTCACAGAGCCATTCAGAGATGGGACTGAGCCCCACTGGAGCAAACTCACTTCTCAAGAATCAGAGGTCAGTAGGGCACTCGCCATGCTTTGAATGGGTTCCTGGAGATGTGTACAGAAAGACCCGTGGCAAACAAACCTTGACCTGTGGCCAGGGGGCTGTGCCTGAGGTCACCAGGCTGCTCATGTCAGGACTGGCTGGGCCCCCAGCCAAGGGGAGAAGACCATTACTGGAAGTTCAGGGAATTTGGCCCCATTGTTAGGAAATCAGTACAGAAAGGGCTGCCCCGGTTAAAGATGACTCTTAGTTCCAGAGAAGGCCAGAACCAACGGGCAACTTCCCTTTGACCTTCCAGGGGAGGTCAGCACTCAGACCCCCATCTCTCCTTTCTCTTCCCCAAATCCTCATGCAGAGGATTGGGAAGGGCTGTGGAACTTAAAGAGGGAAGAGGGATGGAGAAATGATTCTTAAAATGTTAGAGCTTGAAAAGATATTGGCAACGGTCTCGTTCCCATTTTACAAATGAGAGGAAAGATTCAGAGAAGGCAAGTAGTGTGATATCACCACGCTATAACATAACATATAACATATAATAATATATACCATAACAGGATCATCACATAGCATGATTCCTATGTTCACTCGATCTAAGCACCTGCCATAAATACACACTGCTAAGCTCTGGAATAGGCAAATGAATAGGACTCCACTCTGAGCACCAGGTTCCAAATAACTCCCTAACTGGCTTCCTCTCCATGGCCATAGTCTGTCTCTCTGTCTCTCCTTCATCCTTCATACCTCTGTGAGCATTTTCCTTTCAAAGCACAGCTCTATCTGTGTCACTCCCCTGCTCTATGACCTGCCAACAGCCTCATGTTTCGAAGCCAGCCTTCCAGGGGGCATCATGGGTTGCAAAGAGATCATGAACGTTAATGTCAGTCAGTCTTGGCTCCAGTTGGGCTGTGCCATTTCCCGGCTCTGAGATTTGGCCAGCTAACTCAACTTCCACAAACTGCTTCCTCAATTGACATTTACTAAGTATTCACTTCTCTCTCCCTAACCTTGGGATGTAACATTTTATTATGCCCATATTACAGAGCAGAAAATGGGAGCTCAGAAAATGAAGTAACTCATCCAAGGTCACACATCAAAAAGGTGGCTGACCCATGAGCCAAACTATATCTTTTTCACCTCATACCCAGGCTCTCCCAAAAGACAGAATTGGGTCTTCTCCAAGTCACGAATGTCAGTCTTCCCCTTGGAAGTTTTGCTCAAGGCAAACAAAGAGCTCACCTCTTGACCATGAAAGTTTATATGTTACTCCTGATAGCAATTTTACAGTTTTGCCCAAATCACTAATAGCTTGATGATAGCAATTTTTAGACCCTATGTGAATTACAGGTGCGTGAAAATGGTCCTTATTTATTGGAGAAGAAATGCAATCAGGGTTAATCCATCTGACATCTTTCTTCATAGAGAAGAGGGTGTTATAATAGATTTTTAGGTTTAACTGTTGGTATATATTTTAAGAGAAGGAATGTATCCACACCTGGAATTTTTAACTCTCTATAGAAAATGAGCAACGTCAGGGAAAATGGGCAAGAAAACAATAATATTTTATTTAAAAGCCCAAAATATAACTCTTTTTTCTAATGAACTACCCTTGCATATGAATTGAATAGTGTGACAATACTGGTAGAACAATCCACTTCCTTTGCAGTTTGAATACAATTTTACTTCCTTTGTGGGGTTAGAGATTTAAGGCAAGCTTTCTCGACTTTGGCACTATTGACACTAGGGGCCAGATATTTCTTTGCTGTGGGCAGCTATCCTGTGGATTAGGGGATGTTTAGCAGCATCCCTGGCCTCTACCCACTAGATGCCAGTAGCATCTTCTCAGTTTTGACAATCAAAAATGTCTTCAGGGCTTCCCTGGTGGCGTAGTGGTTGAGAGTCCGCCTGCCGATGCAGGGGACACGGGTTCATGCCCGGGTCCGGGAGGATCCCGCGTGCCGCGGAGCGGCTGGGCCCGTGGGCCATGGCCGCTGAGCCTGCGCATCTGGAGCCTGTGCTCCGCAACGGGAGACGCCACAACAGTGAGAGGCCCGCGTACAGAAAAAAAAAAAAAAAAAAAAAAGTCTTCAGACATTGCCAAATGTCTCCTAGGGGAGCAAAATTGACCCCGGTGTCTGGGAACCATGGCTTTAAGGCAGGTGCTAGGATAGAGGGAAGAGAGAACTGGACATTAAGTCCAAAGGTCTGGGATCCAGGTACTGCCACATATGAGCTATGTGAACTGAAACGATTCACTTGATGACTTGGAGCCTCAGTTTCCTAATTTTTCAATGGGGAGAATCCCATCTGTGCCAGAGGTCATTGTGATGAGATCATGTAGAGCAGGGAGGGGCAGCAAACTATAGCTTGAAATCGTACTCAGCCCACGGCTTGTTTTTGTATGCCCTTTGAGCTAAGAATGATGTTTACATTTTTACAAGATTGCAAAAAAAAAAAAAAAAAAGTAGAAGAAGAAGAACTTGTATGAAAGGGACTGTATGTGGCCCACAGAGCCTAAAATATTTACTATCTGGTCCTTTACAGAAAAAGTTTGCCAACTTCCAACTTAACAGATGTGATTTTTAAAGTCTTTTATGTGAGTTGTTATTTTTATAAGGTGGCTTAATCCCGAAGAAATTCTGGGACTACGAGTGTAAATCTAGGCCCTGACCGGATAGTAAGCTTGTGATCCCAGCTCTCCTGTGGCCTGAGTCTAGAGTCACGTATCCCTGTAGTCAGACGGGGAAGGCCACCAGTTCAGCGTGCCGTTACATTTAATCTTGTTCTCTGATGGGCTTATAATAAGAAATATGAAATGATCTGGTCTGCTTCACTTTCATTCCTCGTGAACGTAGAGTTTCTTCAACTGCGAAAAGACTTACCTCAAAATCAATAACAACAGGGTTATACTTTAATGACCTCCCCCAGGAACGGTATGTAATGACGCTCCTATCTTGTGTCAAGCCACCTGCCCAGCCAGAGCTGCCACCTTGCACCAGAGGAATGATGTCTTCCACACCCACTGTCTTCTTGTCATCGACTGCCATCGAGAGAATAACCACATTAGCTCATTTCCTAAAACGCCAAGCTCTGCTAATGAGATTTGGAACAAAGTTTAAGTGCTCTCCTTAGAGCTGTCTCCCACTCTTCTACCTTGCTCGGTTAACTAGCAGGACAAGGCAGAAAAGAAGCACTGAGACTTGGAAATAGATTCATCCTTTGGATTAGAGCAGACGCTGGGAAGACAGCCCAACCCAACATGGAGGAGGGAGAAGATGGGAAAATGGATGATGATTCATTCATTCATTTATTCAGATATTTATGTCAGATGTTTACTTGGTGCCTGCTATATGCCAAATAAGTGCAATCAAATATTGTAAGTGCTATAACAGATTTCTCTCTCAGTAGGGGTGCAGAGAAAGATGTGGTCAGATCTATAGTAGCAGTGGGGAGGTGGTCAGGAAAAAAGGTGAGTTATCTAGAAGAATGGATAAATCTTGGCAGATAAATGGAAGGAGGAGGGAAGGGCATCAGAGAGAAGAAGGATTTGACTTAAGGCCCTGAGACATGAGTAGCCCAATGCAATGGGAGTAACTTGAACCTCATCTACTCATCCACTGTACTATAAACGATTTCGTCATCCCTGCATCCTCTGTGTCTCCCACCTGGAAAAAATTACCCAATACAGGTTGAATGAATGAATGAATACATGAAAACTCGTAGTGACCTGTGTGGGAGATGTTACAGAATATTCTTGTACCATCTTTCTCTAATAATTATTCTTTGAGCTTGGACTTGATAACCACATTTCTCTCTCTCAGCAAACTTGTTTCCTCCCTCGGGACTGTACCTGATGGGACTTTATCCAACAGTCGACTTTCCAAGTTCCATCCGCACATCCCTTTCATCCCAGCTCTTACTTAGATCTTTGTCTAGTGCTTGAAATCTAGGAGGGTGCACCATACGAAGTCAAGTATTTCTAAGGTGATCTTAGCCTATGCAGAATTCAAAATAAGCCCACTACAGGTCATTGGTTTGGGGCATTCAGCAGATATGCAGTATGACCATTGACTGAAATGGAATCAGCTGGTGGTGGTGGTGGGGGGAATAGCGTACATGCCCCGATTTTGAGTCCGAGGGGAAATCTGGCTTCTCTTTTTTGGGAAGCCCATTACTAAATACTTGCCTATTTTGCCACCTCCAAATTTTTTACAAGCTTCTCCTGATAAACGTCCTCCAATTTGTGTTGTATCTGTGTACTCATAGTCGATGCCAAAAGAGCCTCCAAAGCATGTCTTGACATCATTGCTGGAAAAACCTGCAACAGGGAGCAGAGAAACATAGAATGCTGAGACGCTGAAAGACCGTGAATATGGTACAACCAGCTCATAGTAGTAGCTCACAGCTCACTAGCTCACAGTAGTAAAAGCTAGCTTGTATTTTGCAGTCTAAGAGGTCCAGGTTGAAATCCCAGTTCTTGAACCCAGTTTCAGTGTCCTCTTCTGTCTTGATCCAGTGCAAATATTCTTGAAATGAGAAGGAATATGTATTGCACGCACTAGTTGGTGAAAAGTGCTTGTTCCCTTTCCTTTGCACATTCTCCACGGAGCCTCCTTGAGACAGTGATTCTATCTCATCCATCTCCATATACCCCTGTGCCTAGCACAGTGCCTGGCCCAAGATTGGCACCAATTTTGCCTTTGCTGCCCCTTCCTTTCTCCTTTTTCACCATCTTTCTAAAGTCTACTCAAGCTCCAATTCAAATATCATTTCTTCCATGAAGCATTTTTGGATCAGAGCACTTCCCTCTTTCTTCAGAGCTACCCATGTGCTTTGTTTAGGTCTGAATGATCATATGTGTCCCAGTTCTTTTTGCCCAGGTCCTCTTTGCACCGCAGAGAGGCCAGAGTGCTGTCAGGAGGTGGATAGATCTCCCTGGGGAGGCTGCTTGGCTTCTGGCGCCATGAGAGGTGTGAGGCCCACGTCAGTTGTCTCTGTCTCTATCTGAGGAGTTGCTGAGGAATCTGCATTTTGCAGTTGAGGAACATAATTCTCAAAGGAATAACATCATTTTTCCCCGATCCCACAGCCTGTAGGTGAACAGAACTAGGTTTCCAACCCTTGGTCAGCTGGCAAGATAAGGCTACAAAAGCAGACTGGAGCAAGATATTGACCATTGCTGCAGAGTTCAGCTCCCTCTGTAGCTAAAGTCTTCTGAAGGTTGTGAACTGGAGTTTGCACTGGCAACATGTCATTACTTTTCACTGCAACTATACAATAATTATGACCAGTCGGTGTCTTATTCTGGCAACCACAAAGGAAAAATAATTTAGGTTGTAATTCAGTTAAGCTAAGGATTAGATTCAATATTTTTAAGGGAGTATGAGGCAGCAAGTTTACCTGCCAGCCTTCGCATGAAACTGCAGACTCTATGGGGTCAAGGACTGGCATCTTACTCACCACTCTCTTGTCAGCCTAGCAGCACGATGTCTGCCATGGGGGAGGAGCTCAGTGAGTATTCTCAGAATAAATGATTGATGAATGAAAAAAAATGAGTGAATAAATGAGTGCCAAGAGTCCTTGGGTAAGGGCGTCTAATGGGAAGAATCTTACAAGTCAGGAATCCTGAATTTAAGTCCCAGTCACTCAGATGAATGGATAAAGAAATTATTATAGATATAATTATATATAAATATATATAATTTTAATATATAATTATTATATATAATATAGAAATAAAATATATAATAATTATATATAATAACAAATATATAATTATTATATATACAATTCTGTGTATATAGGTATATACTCTCTATAGATCCCACATATATACCCTATATATATATTCCACATATATACCCTATATATATATCACATATATCCCATTTATATATAAAATAATTATTCAGCCTTAAAACATAAAGAGATCCTGCCATTTGCGACAACATGGGTGAAACTTGAAGACATTATGCTAAGTGAAATAAGCCATACCCAAAAAGGAAAAAAGAATGCCTGATCTTACTTACACGTGAACTCTACAAAACTCAAATATATAGAAGCAGAGAGGAGAACGGTGGCTGCCCGGGGGCAGGAGGTGGGGGAAGAGGGGGGATGCTGCACAAACTCGTAGTTATGTAGGAGGAATAAGCCTGGAGATCGAATGGACAGCTTGATGTCTACAGTTAATATCAGTAATATTGCACTGAATACTGGAAATTTGCCAAGGGAGTAGATTGCACGTACTCTCGTCATACACACGTAACTATGTGAGGAGAGAGATGTTAATTAGCTTGACTAATAATCATTTCACTTTATTTGTATCAAATCATCGTGCTATATACCTTAAATATATACACATTTTATTTTTCTTAAAAAGTAAAACAAAACGCGTCCCAGTCCCTGACACCCTGTATGAGCTTAGAAAAGGCCCATGATCTCACTGGGCCTCAGTTTCCCATTTATGGAGAGAAAGGGTTGGACTTGCTCGTCCTGAGTCCCCTTTCGGCTGCAGCCCTCTGTGCCTCTGTGCACAGCAGTTTCTGAATAACTCCGAGCTGACAGTGCCTGGGAGAAGTGATGCTTTAAGCACCAGCACTCAGCGCCGAGCACAGGGTTTCTTTTGCCATTTCCGTTCAAGTACTTTTAATTTTTAATGCACTACTAATTGAGGAAGATTTAGCATATTTAATTGTTTTGATTAAAAAATGCTTCAACCGTGATAAACAAAAGTGGATGAAAGGAATTCATGGGCAGAAGCCAGAGTGATTACTTAGGTGAGTGGTGCAGTGCTGCCCAATTAAAGTGACGGGCCGGGCCGATTAGTGGGGGCTGGAGGATGCCTGTGGAGTGATTATGCTCATGAGGGGTCTGCAGACAGCCTGCCACGCGCTACTTGGAGAAGAGAATTCCAGCTTGATTTCAGCAGCACGGCTTGACTGCAAAGGATCGCCTCCCGAGGACCCTGAAGGAGGGTACCAGCCAGCAAGGGGAGGTCTGTGACTTGAGAATCATACAGCATGAGGGCTAAATTATCCTTAGTCACCTACCCCATACTTCTTATGTTTACTTGTGATGCCCTTGGTTCGTAAAGATTAATTATCTTGCCCAAAACCACATAGCTAAAAAGAACAGTGGAGCTGAGATTCAAACTCGTCTTTCTTGCTTAGAAGAATTAACTAATTCTATTTATTGCATCAGACTAAATTCTGCTGAAAAATTTAGTAAGCATCTACTATGTACCATCCCAGGCATACCGTGTGTTGGACAAGGTAGACACTGTGAGAATAAAACTGGTATGAATATGATGCAGATCTAAATTACAAGGTTCTGGCCTTGAGAAGCTAGCAGGTGTGGGGCAACATAGTTAAATGGAGACAGATTTGGATCCCGAGAGTTGCTTATTTCGTGGAAGACAATTTTTCCACGGATGGGGTGGGGGGATGGTTTCGGGATGATTCAAGCACATTACCTTTATTGTGCACTTTATTTCTATCATTATTACATTGTAATATATAATGAAATAATTACACAACTCACCATAATGCTGACGGGAGGCGGAGCTCAGGCAGTAATGCTAGTGATGGGGAGTGGCTGTAAATACAGATGAAGCTTCAGTCCCTCGCCCACCGCTCAGCTCCTGCTGTGCGGCCTGGTTCCTAACGGGCCACGGACCGCTACCAGTCCATGGCCCGGGAGTTGGGGATCCCTGGACTATAGGACCAGGTGGTGCTCTGCCAGGGCTCCACCCCATCCCATCAGCTCCTTAGATGTCAGCTTTGGACCAGATCAAACTGCCGTTTGTTTTAGACTTTCCTGCTCAGTAAACGGGAGTTGATGTTTGCCGAACCTGGCTACATATTGAGATCATCTGGAGGGCTTATTAAAAAGACAGGTTCCTGAGCCCCACCTCTATCACTTCTGATTCTGTATTTCTGAGTAATCAGCAATCTGTATTTTAATTAACTATCCCAGATGAAGCCTATGCAGTGCATCTGGGATGAGATACTGAGTACCACGGTCCTACAGAGAACCTCTGGTGGCCTGTCACAAAGCCGGCCTCCATACTAACCTAGTCGGTGCCTTTGTCAATGCCTTGGATATGGACTTAGCAGCCACGCTCACTGTATCTACCCAGAGGAAGAAAAAGAATCAGGGTCCAAAAAGCCCTCAAAGGGCTGATGGACAGACAGACCAAGCATAGCAAAATGGGACTCAGTTGGAAAAGTTGTAACATCCTGTCCTGGGGATAAAATACCAAGTGCATGAGCACAGTAAGGAAGAGAGCCAGCTTAGCAGGAGAACAAGAGAAAAGGCCCAAGGGTTTTAGATCACTTTCAGCTCCGGAGGGCAATGAAGCCAGGTGAAAATTATAATCAAAAAAGTAAAGGCGGGGATAATCTCATTCCCTCTGCGCAGGTTAGAGAAACCCGGAACCTGGTGCCGAGTTCTGGGAGCCACACTTTTAAAAGGAAATAAGAAAACAGAACATTCGCTGGACATCATCCAGCCTCTGAGAAGAAGGAAATCATGCCACGTGCAACAACGTGGATGAACCTGGCGGACATCATGCTAAGTGAAAGAAGCCAGTCACAGAAGGACAAATACTGCATGATTCCACTTATATGAAGTATGTAAAGTAGCCGAACTCATGGAAGCAGAGCATAGAATTGTGGTTGCCGGGGGTTGGGAGAGGATGAGGAATTGCTAATCAACGGGCATAAAATCTCAACTATGCAAGATGAGTAAGTTCTGGAGATCTGCCAGAATATTGTCCCTATAGTGAAGGATTCGGTATTGTACCCTTAAACATTTGTTACAAGATTAGATCTCATGTTAAGTGTTTTTACCACAATAAGATTTAATAAAAGAAGAAAATGGGGAATGATTGAATGAGAATGAGCATGAGGGTGAAGAAATGTAAAGCCAAATCCTTTGGGGAATGTTTGAGGGGATGCAGGATGTTTACCTGAACAAGAAAGGAGAGGTTTCTCTTTAAGAGAGGTCAGTAGGATTAGATTCAGCCCTCCGGAGGGTTGTCTTGAGGAAGAGGAATTAGGCTTGTTTGTGTGGTCACAAGGGCAAGAACTAGGACCAAAAGGGCAGATACTACAGGGAGATAGATTGAGGCTCAACTTAAGGTAAATCACCGCAACACTCAGAGGCCAAGGAGATAGGAGTTGTTTCATGAGGCAGTGAGCTCCCCATATCTGGAGGGTCCCAAGCAGAAGTTAGCTGTTTGCCTGTGAGTAGAAGAAGCATTTGCAGAATTGACGAGATGTCTTTTAAGAGCTCCTCTAAAGCCAAGGTTCTGAAACT